GGGGGGGGACCCAGCACCGCCTGAGGCACCTCCCAGCCCGCAGAGTCGCCCGGGGGCTCTGGCCCACCCCAGCACCGCCCCCCATACCCAAGCCAGGCCCCAACGGCCTCTCCTCGCCGCTTTCCCGAGTCCCCACAGCCTCCTCAGTATCATTCGGCCGCGGGGGCTGCTCGGCGCCGGCCATGGAGGAGGCGGCAATCAGTGTGGCGCGACGCTTCCTCCTCTGACGGAGCGGCCGTTGGCACTGCGGCGCGTGCCGCCTTCTTCCCGCCTCACTTCAAACAGGGCCAAACCACTGCGCGGCGGGAGGGGGGGGGGAGGGGGAATCCTTTCAGCGCTAGCAATGTATTCAGAGCCCGCCCCGCGTCCATCCGCGGATTACTGCCGGCACCAGAAAGCGAGGAGCGCCAAATGGGGTGACAGCGCTTCGCAGGTTCTGCTTCGCTCACCGAGCCCCGCTGTCTGGGCACCATCCCCTCTCCCGCTCTGCGCCGATGGGCCGCCCCGCAGCCCTTGTCCCGCTGCGCGGTGGGGCTCTACCATGGAAAGGCGGGGGGGGAACTCAGCGCCTTGTGGGAGGGAGAAGGGCGGGAGCGCATTGCTCTTTGTGAGAGGCTGTCAGCGGAACCTAGGAGCCTGCACCTTCTAGATGTGTTTCTGCTAGAACCGTCTGAGCTATAAGGGATCTCTAAAAGCCATCCCTGCACGCCCGCAGCTCCATCAGTGCTCACAGCCCCCTGGGGTCTCTGGGGGCGCGGCATCACCGCCTCCCTGCAGCCCGTGCGGTGCCTCACCTGGCTGCAAAACCTTCCTTATATCCAACTTAAACCTCCCCCTCTTTGAGACCCCTTGTCCTACCCCACAGACCCTCTATAGACTGCACCCTACTTTCTCAGTCCTTTCAGGGCAGTGTCCCATCCCTGGGATCATTTCTGTGGCCCTCCTCTGATGTGCTCCAACAGCTCCACGTCTCTCCTGTGCTCAGGACTCCCCGTCTGGATGCAGTGCTCCAGGTGAGGTCTCAGTGCAGAGCAGCGGGGCAGATCCCCTCCATGGCCCTGCTGGCAGCACTGCTTTGGATGCACTCAGAATACAGTTGGCTTTCTGTGCTGTGAGGGCACAGTGCTGGCTCATGCCCAGCTGCCACCCACCAGCACCCCCAGGTCCTTTTTGGCAGGGCTGTGCTCCAGGGGTGCCACAACCCAGGTGCAGACATTGCACTTGGCTTTGCTGAACCTCATGAGGTTCTCCTGGACCCAATGCTCACCCATCTCCAGTGGCATCCCGTCCCTCAGACAGATCAACTGCACCACACAGCTTGGTGTCGTCAAAGGTGCACTCAGCCCCACTGTTGATGTCAGTGATGAAAATAAAGAGCATCACTCCCATTGCTGATACTGCGAGTGTCAGTATTTTATGCGCTGGGGCTGGGAAACCAAAAGCTACTGCTCTTTCTGCACCCACTCCTTTCATTGTGTTGTGCTGCTGCAAAAGGGAGCCAAGCATGGGTTCACCTTTTCTTTCTGCCCCTGCCTACCGCCTCCAAGGTGCAGCAGCTTTCCTTAACAAAGGCATTACCAGCGTGACCTTCCCAATCACCTCCTCTGCACAGTTTTTCATAGGTGGAAGCTGCGAATGCTCCGTGAGGCTTTTTAGGCTGCAGCTGAACAAAAGGCAGTGGCCGTGGCTGGTTCCCATTGCCCTCTGAGGAATGGCAGGAATTTCTCCGCCATCCACAGTCTGGGGGAGTTACAGCATCAGCACAGGGCTGATTGTTTTTATACCAAAAGCCTGTGCGAAGCTGTGGCTTAGTGGCTGTCAACTGCCAGGGTATTAACCTTAGACCTGTCAGAGTGAATAAAATGAAAAAGCCGGCTGTGTAGTCCTGGGGAGGCTCCAGAAAGTGCTGCTGGGTCTGCAACAGCTGCAGTGTGCTTCCATCTAGCTTTTTCTCATTTGTTTTTAATCAGTTTGCTTTCTGACCAACCCAGAAAGCAGTGGGTGACCATGTCCCATTTTGCTCTATCCTCCTCCAAGGCTGGGATTAAATCTTCTGTGGGGCAAAATGCCCAGTCTGCGATGAGGCTCCTTGTGCTCTAATGAAAGGTTTGCCTTTCTTCTCTCTTCCAGCTCCCTCCTATTTCCCAGGCATCTGATAACCTTCGCTGGCTGACACCTGCACTGTTGATGACTGGAGCTGGGAGGTCTCAGAGCACTGCAGGTCTGTGGGATGGGAGGTCTGTGGGACCCATGGTGGGACAGGCACGAGAACCAGCCTGTTCGGGAGCTGGAGCCTTGATCCACCCCTTGTAAAACAGCTCTGTCCTCCAAAGTCTCTGAAACGCTTACGAGTTCTGGGTGTTGTGGCTGGAGAAAAGCAAAGGATGAAAGGCACAGCACTGGCACACCATGTGGGGACAGACAACCTAATTACCACACGTAATTAGTTACAGCTTCACAGCTGGGGTGTATGAAGCTGCAGCTCTCCTCGCCCGCTGCAGTTGCAATGGAGAATAGGCGTGTTTTAAAGGGTTGGAGCTGCCACCATTGCTGTGGGTTTACAGCAGGCTAAGGGTACAATTAATGCAGCTTAGCTGATGAGTTGTAATCCATTTTGTTTGTGTAAACAACTCCATGCCAGGAGGGGCTAGCCCTAACCTGAACCCGTGGCAGTCCCTCTGTGCATCTGCAATACATGGTTGTATTAAAGTGATCTCCTTAAATCGGCTGATTTCCTCAGGCTCCCAGGGAGCTGTAAAATTATCCCATCAAAAAGCAATAAGGGGAAAGTGCTCGGCTTGGGCAATGCTGCAGTGACATCAGATAGCGACCAGCCCTTGGCCGGGGGCTGAATGCTGCCAAGGAAGAAGCTGGGAAAACCCCAGTGTGCACAGAGCCCTTTCCTCTTGCTCAAAGATAGAGCTTGTCCAGCACGTAGCTTGCATGTGCAGGATCACTGACACAGTGGGCTCATCCCAAAGAGTTGCTACAGATATGCTGGGAGCTCAAGGAGGCATTGGGGTTGTTGCTTTGCTCTAAGTACCAGCAAGGGGTTGGCAGACGGGCAGGATTGTGAGAAATAAAACCAGTGAGGTTTTTGATGGGGCCAGTCTGGTTCAAATCCTGTCTGGGAATTCCCCACAGTTCTCCCTGTTTGGCTTCACGTGATCCCACTTCTTCCTCTTTCTGACCTTCAGCTTCATGCAAAGAAGCCGAGATGCTGTTCATGTCAGAAAATAAAGCAGTGCAGCTCGCTGATGACTTCAGTTTGCTCTCATCCCCCATTTCAGTGCACGGTCCAGGTCTATAAGTCCTGGTCCCAGAAGAGGCAATAGTGAGTATGTATTAGCCCTGTGTTGGTTTTCTTTCCCTGGTGACAGGTGACTTGAACTGTAATAGCAGAATGCATTTATAATGCATTTCCCTGCAAGGGAATCCAATTCCTGGGTGACTTTCCCTTGCTGGCAAGGCAGTTTTTTCAGAAGTGCTGGGGATAGGTTAGATTGGTGCTTTTAATCTGCCATTTTAATGAGTGCCATGCATCTCTCTGATTAGATTCTTCTCATCTCTCTAGGCAAAATCACAACAGGGATTTTGAGTTTTTAGGGTGAGTGTCGGGCAGCAGCCTGCGTGGTTATTCCCAATTCACTCTTTAATAATCCTCCCAAGTTTGTAACCCCTAAAATCACGTCACCTCTCCTCTGATCAACTGCCCTGGAGAGCAGAGGGCTCTGTGTGCCATCCCTGCATGTCCCAAAACTCGGCACAGAAGCATCCTGTGCTTTTGCTTTGCTGGGTGCAGCAAGGTGGCAGCAGGAGGGAAGGGCCCTCTCGTTCAAACAGAAATACCTTTGGCAGCAGCCGCAGCCAATGGAAAGGGGAAATGGATTTTTTGTTGAAAAGTTGGCGTTGTTTTTTCAAGTCTGACGAATGTGAAAGTCCCCATTTAAAGGAGGCGAACCTGCAGTGAAGTCGGTCACTGTTTACACACCCACGCGCCGACTGGGGCGGCCGAAAGCAAACTTCCTGGTGTATCCTGCTCCAAATCACCTGGGAGCGGAGCTCATTGAGCAGGGCTGCGGCTCCGTCTGCAGAAAGCAAGCCCTGTCCGAGCAGGAGATGCAAAGCCCCGCTGGCGTTAGGGCTCTTGCTCACAGAAAATAGGGGAGTTCCCTACGTGCTGTGGTTTTGTTCCTGCTAGGAGTTCTTTTTCCAGGAGGAGAGCAAGCAGGGTGGAGGGCAGAGAGTGCAAGCAGGTGTTTTTGGAGGGTGTAGGGGGGGAGCTGGGAAAGAAGGGAGTTTTCCCTCTCCCCCACAAGGCAGGAGGGCTTTCTTTGCGGGAGCTCCTGGTGCGCCTGACAAGGTCAGGGTTGTTTCTGTGCTGGATGCTGGTGTGAATATGTGGGCAGGCAGCTGGGTCCTGAAGAGCTTGTAGCTCCCCTGCAAGCCAATGAAGCATTACCATCTGTCTCATCCGGGTGAGAAGATGGAAGTGCTGGGCTGCACGTTCTGGTCTTGGTGTTGAGATTGCCGTAGCTGCTGGTTGCAGTTTGGGAGCCGGTTGGGTTGGCGGCTTTCCTCTGCTGCTTTGGCATGGATGTGGAAGGTGTGTACGTGCCCGCGGTGCGCTACATGTTTCACCAATGACTAGAGCAGCTATTAATTCCCTCCTCCTAAACCAGAGCGTGACCATCTCCACGAGACACCCCGTACATGCGGGCTGTTTCCACCTCAGTCTGGGCGCACGTGTTCGGGCCGTGGGATCTGGCCGCCTTCAGCAAACCATTGCTCACCCAGCCCAGCCTCCTGTGGCCAGCGCCTGATGTCAGCGCGTTGCGAGCTGACCCGTCATCGTGTACTCAGGGGACAGGTCACCTCTGGGTAAACTGAGGCTTGGAGGGCTTTACTTCGTGGTCACATAGTCAGCCTGGCGCCAAGAGGTGCTCGCCGTGCTCCTTTGCCCTGTAGGATGCTTGTTCAAGAAACATGGAGATGTGGCACTGGGGGTCTTAGCGAGCGTTGTGGGAATGGGTAGATGGTTGAACTTGGTGATCTTTTCCAGCCTTAAGGATTCTATGCTCCTGAACATGGTTTGGGGTGTTTTTGGCAAAGCACCGGTTCGCTGCAGTGCCGCTGGCTCGGCGCCTTTGGATAATCTTTGTATTTGCTGACTTGACTCAATTC